AGCGGCTAGCGGGGCTTCTCTTGCCCTGGTGACCGCTCCTGGGCAGGGCCAGGGATGGCCCCTGTGAGGAGGCGACGTGTGTGACACTGAGGAGGAACGTGGCCGGCCACTCAGAGGACAGCGTCCGCCTGAGGACTGTGTCCTGTGGGCTGAGAGCCGGGCGCGTCGTGGTGGGGCCGGTGTCCCCGCGCTGGCCGGGCAGAGTCTCGGGCTGGGCTTGGCGCCGGGCCCCGATCCGGCTCTGCGGGCCGAGCAGCCCGTGGAGCGCGCGGTTCTCGTTTGCGGTCGCGGAGCTGTTGAAGCGGGGCCATGTGTGAAGCCAGCGCCGTGTTAGAGCTGGGAGGGCCGGCACCCGGGCCTGCGGCCTCCTGCCCCCGCGGCCGCGCGTGGCAGCCGTGCTGGGTGCTGTTTGCGGCCTCCTGCACTGGGAATCCTGGGGGCTGTGAGCTGAGGAACAGGACACGCGGCCTGCGGTGCACAGACACGTAACACGCGGCCCCCGCAGGCACCCTGAGGTTCCCAAGTTTTCTACATTTATTTCTATAACACATACTTATTAAGAAACATCTGAAAAACAAAAAAGTGGGCTCAAGTCCCACCGTGAAAACTGCACCCTCGTGAATGGCTTTTTCTGTCTGGGGCTGGCTGCCTTGTGTGCATAATGTCAGCACTTGAAGCAGTCTTCCGTTTTCTTTCTCTCTGGGTCCTAGAGCACTTTTTTTGAAGATGGAGTGAAAGTGTGCCATGGAGATTCTCAGTAAGCCCTGAAGCCCTGTGTCTGTGCGCCGGGGAGGAGGTAGCAGGAGCGCGGTGGCGAGTACACCCACAGCCCGGCCGCCGGGGCGGAGGTGGCCCTGGGAGCCCAGCAACCTGCCAGCCGTGCATCCTGTCCTGCGTCTGGGCCTCTACCGCACTAAGTGGATGAGAGTATTAACTGTTCTTCCTTAGGTCCTTGTAATTGGAGACTCCAGAAAGATGTGACCTGTGATTTGGGAGGGCTCTGTGATTTTTGTTTTCCATCCATTTAAATGGCCTGTGGAACACTATGCGGTCATTGACTGTGAAAGCAGAACTTCGGTTTTGTTTTTTGTTTTTTTACTTGATTCTTTGCGTTATATTAACGTCGGTAAATATTTTGTATAATTACAGAGGAAAAAGGCATGTTTTTTTTTAAGTTTTTTTTTTTTTTTTAACATGGACCATTTTTGAAGTCTTTATTGAATTTGTTACAATATTGCTTCCATTCTGTGTTTTGGTCTTTTGGCCCTGAGGCATGTGGGATCTTAGCTCCCCGACCAGGGATTGAACCTGCACCCCCTGCATTGGAAGGCGAAATCTTAACCACTGGACTGCCAGGGAAGTCCCAAAGGCATGTATTTTTAAGCAAAAGTGGTGTATGAGGTGGAAAAAAAAGTAATGATTGGATTGCTAATATGTAGAAGCCGTCATGTTTGTATAATACTTAGTGATTGGCAGTATTTTCTCTCTCCTTCCAGGCATGCTTTTAATACAACCTCTGGAGTTTCAGGTCATAGCAACACTCAGAGAAAACCCGTTTGGCATGATTTATAACCAGATGACTAGTTTAGATGGGTGGTGTCTGTCGGAACTCACCAGCGCCTCAGGGATGGACCGTTGTCAGTTCCCACTCAGGTCACATGGTGCAGGAGGCAGCTCGCGGGACTCGCCCTGTCCCTGGCCTGCCCCCTCCGGCGGTCCTGCCCGGGTGGTTCTCTGCTCCTCTGTGTGTCTGCAGAGGCCGCCAGCTCATCCTGCTTCCCCTGCAGCCCATCCCCCTGTAGGCGAGGAGCCAGGAAACATTTGGGAATCTTACAGTCCCAGAGAAAGGGAGCAAATCTTTAAAGGGAAACCTCACTGGAGGATGTTGGGGAGACGGCTCCTTGGAAGCTGGTGACAGAAGGGATGAGCTCCGCCCTTACTGCTGGGTGAGCCGCGCCTCGGGGTCTCCAGGGCACAGCTTCGTCTGTACAAACTGCCCCCGCCCGCCGTCTGGCCTGCAGCCCTCGGGAATTAAAGTGTTGGGTGGGGATTGGGGGGGTGTCAGTAAGAAGGAAGGCAGCCAGAGGTCACCCATCTCCTGTTGGAAGAACGCCACACCACCTGGGAACTGTTCTCCCCCAAAGCTGAGATCTAGGTCCGCATGTGTACAGAAAACCCCGGGGGCAGGGGGCAGTCACAAAATCCAGATGGTGGGAGACCGCGGGTGTGGAAGACGGGCTTGTTTGGACGCGATTTAAACAAAGTAAAGCAAAAATGGGGCAATCAGGAAGATTGGACTCCCGACCAGGTGTTTGTTGCTGTTGAAGCCTGTTGGTCTGAGCTGGTGCGGTGCCGGGAGGACGCTTGTGCTGGGAAAGAAGCTCTTCCCTTTTGGAGGCGCGTGGTCGGTGGTTATGTTGAAACGACTGGCTGGCAGAGGCCCACTTGGCACCGCTGGGAAGGGGCTCAGGGTTTGAGTGAAACAAGACTCAACTGTGAGCTGGTTAAGTGTTGATATTAAAGGTAGGAAAAAAGATATTTGAAACTGCTCCTTTTCTACTCCCAAGAATGGCAGCAGTGTCTGAGGGTGTGGGAAGGGCCTTGGGGAAAAGGTTCGGAGCCACTTCCTTGGTGTTTGCACACAGCTAGCTGTGTCTCTGGCCTGAAAGACCCGGGGCCAGACGCTGCCGGCCTTTCCTCTCGTTCGAGTGAGTACACGGGAACGTTCTGACTAAACGGCCTGGACCACGTGCGTCCAGTTAAACTGTAAACACTGGCTCGGTGTCCCTGACGGAGGGCCAGCCACGGGCTGATGGCAGCCCTCTGTTCCCAGCGCTCTCATCCGCCTCGGGGTCGTTTAATTAGGAGACCGAGGAGGCCGTGGGGTGATTTGCAGGTTAGGCAACAGCGCTGATGAGGGTCCCATCCTCTTTCCCAGCTCAGCTCAGGACTGTCCCGAGTGTGGACGGACTTGCGGGGTGGCCGCGAGGCTGCGGGCCTGGGTGGACCGTGGGGACGGGCCCGCACTGACGGTCGCTCTCCTGCTTTTCAGACTGGGCCGCTGCCATCCGAGTCGCTGCCCTGGACTGTGCGGAAGAAAAGAACCACGAGGTGTGCCGCGCCTACGAGATCCATTTCTACCCCACCTTCCGGGTGAGTGCCTCCTCCCTGCGCGTGGCGGCGGCTTTAAGTTGAAACCCACCAGCTGTGTGACTGCTGCGTTTTCAGCATTTGGGGCGTCTTGAAACGTGTGGGGTTCTGTTGCAGAGGGGCGCCTCTCCTCCCACCCTGCTGGGCTGCCCGTGTCGTGGTGGGACGGTACCCGCAGCTCCTGCTTACACCCAGCGAGGGGAGGTGGGTGAGGCCTGCGGGTGGGGGAATGGCGGGGAGCTGCCCTGAGAGCCGGTCTGAGGCCCCCAGGTGTCGGTGTGCCGCGATGGGTCTGGGTGCCGGCGTGTGGCCGGCCTGCCCGGCCGTGTGCCTGCAGGGCTGTCCCTCACACAGGCCTGTCCCTGTCTCTCCCACCAGGGGGCGGACTGGAAGCTGAGAAGCAGACCCAGGTCTGTGTGCGCACGTGTGCGGTCACTCGCCTGCACCCGAGCGCATCACGGTGACTTTACATCTCAGGAAAAAAGCTGAGCTTTTGGAAGTGACCTCTGAGAAGCTTGGAGACCCCCCTGCCTCTCAGCCCTCACATCCCACGCTCTCTGTGGCACAGCGTCAGATGCTTCTCCCCTCAGTGTTGACCTGGTGGTAGCCGTGCATCCGTCTCCTGGCTGGGCTGCGCCCACTGGTTGGCCTGGTGCCCCAGCCCCACCAGAGTCACCCTCCCCTTGAGCCCCGTGTCGAAACGTGTTACTGTTTTATTCTCCTGTCTTACTTTGTTTCAGCTTTACACACAGGGCTCTGTGTGCTGTGTGTGAGCTTCGGGCCTCCTCTTTTTCCTAAGAGGACGTTGCTAGAATCACCCGCACACTGGGTGGGGCTGGGGTCCGCCTGCAGCACGGTTTACCGCCACGGGCCCTGAGCTGCCGGGCACTCGTGTGCCTCCTGGCGCCGGCCTGGAGCACGGTGCTGGGCCTCCCTGCTGACGGGTGACAGGGAGTGAGCACTGCTCCACGGGTGGCCCCGTCTGTTGGTGTCATTTGCCCGTTTTCCTCTCCCCCACGTGCGCTTTTCTGACTGATTTGCAGGAGTCCTGTGTCTTCCCGACACTCGCCCTCCTTCAGCTATGCGCGTCCGGGGGTGTCAGCACCCAGCCTGTCACTGTTTCCACTGTCTTTACTGTGTCTTTTAATGAAGAAAGTTTCTAATTTTGATGTAAAACCCTTTTGCTCTGCTCAAAGACACTTGATATAGTGCCTGCCCTCGTCCCTAGGAGTTTTTGTATCGTTGAGCGGACATACCGTGAACATCTAGCACCAGGAGCCTTTAGGGGACGCGCCGTCTGCCATAGCTCCAGCCCTGTTGGGGCAGAAAATGTAAAGAGCAGGGTTCCGCTTGGTACTGAGCAGCCGCTTGTGAATCTGGAGGGAAACACTGTCATCCACAGAAACACATAGAAATGTCGGTCGTCATCAGTCAACGTAAAGTGTCTGGAAGAAAGGGACTAAAGCTCTCAAAGACTATGGTCGTTTTGTTGCTTAAAGATGAAACGTTTGCACAGACGCCAGGCAAGGCTGTTTCTTATTTGTTCTGTGTTTTTCTTCTTAGTATTTTAAAGCATTTGCAAAGGACTTTACAACTGGAGAAGATGTTACAGGTAAGGACCTAAGTGTTCTATTCTACCGTCCTAGATTCCTTCCCCCTTAGATAAATCTATTCACGCGAGCCTAGAACACGCCCTGGTTGGGTCTGCCCCTCACCCCGGCTTTGGCACGTTTACATCGGCACCATCAGCCCTTTCTTTCCTGTAAGGGTTCAGACGGTCCTAGTTTCAGCGAGAATTCTTTCTTCTGTGCTTTGCCTTCCTGGGCAAATGTGGTGAAATTTATTTTCTTAAGTAAACTTTTCTGGAAAAAAGAAAAGTTTGAGAAGTGCACACATCACAAGGGCACCCCGATGAATTTTTGTCAGTGATCCCCCCCCAGCTACCCCCAGGAGCCCACAGTGAGGGCAGTCTGCCTGCCTCTGAACTCGGTATAGATGGACACATGCCTCTCTCTCCACGCCGCGTGCGTGTGCGTGCGTGGGGGGGGGGGGGG